ATCTATGTGTTCCACCTTTTAAGGAGGAAACATCCGGGGACAGCGAGGGAGAATCTGGAGCCGGACGCGTACTGTGTGCAGACCGTGCAAATGGAGACTGTTGCTAAATCAAGTCGCTGTACATTCGTCATTCCACGTTCCCCCCCAGAGGACCACACGTCACAGCAGCCTAGTTGGAACGATGTATCTGTACAAAAGGTTTCCCTTTGGCGATGAACAGGGTCGGGCTAACCGTGGTCACCTGGCCTCTCGGTCTCAGGCTCAGCAGAACCACGAGCTAAGTGATCCACGGTTGATGCTACATCGTTAGCGCTCCGCTCCGATGGGCCTCGCAGGCTTTGGTCTCATGGTTGGAGACAATGAGACTTGTTCATAAGACGTTCGCGGTAATTCTTGCTTCAGCTTTTACGGAAGGTTCCCAATGGAAGAGCTTCATTTCTCAGGGAGACAAAGAGTGAAGCTGTTTAGATGCCTGGGATTCCTGGTGGATCATTGTAATCCCTTCAGAAGGCTTGATTCATGGCATCCTCTCTATAAAAGGGATACAATACAGAAGGAAGACGCCTGAGGAGGGATCAGTGGATGATGACACTGTGCAGGAGGGAATGACTGAGACTGGCAGAAAGAAAGGGAGTCCATCCAGCTCCATAGCGGTCTAACAAGACTGCAGAATGTTGCCTGGAGGTCATAATTAGTAGATCCTCCAAGGCTGTGAGGAGCACATATAGCTGAACTTCAGAAGAACCAATGAGATTTTTTTTAGTGTTTTCTACACTAATTTACACAGTAAATCTTTGGAGTGTTTGACCATTGAGGTCAAGTTCTCCACTGAAACCCAGTCAACTCTGATGTTGATGGTGGTAACTAGGTAACCGTGGTTGGGCTTGGTAGGTATCTATCCCACGTGGCTCAGCATATCCCATCATGCATTGCGTCACGACAAAAATGGAAGCAGGTGAGCTGAACTTTTAAATGTAAGTAATAGAATTCACCAGAATATCTTACGCCATGAATGTTATATTATGATACATAACATCACATCTTAGTTCATGAAATTGCATAAGTCACGTGACGCTGGTAACCGATGTTGTGTTTTTAAATACACGCTGAACTTAAGAACAAACGGCTCTTGGTACCAACTCCGTCATGCAGTATCTACTTCTGATTCATCTCCTTGTTGTGAAATGGTGACATGAATCACGACATGTTTGCTTGTGTGTGTTCATGAGCCAGTGTAGGGTGAACATCCGCATGTTAGCTGTACTCAGAGTGCTGCTTCGTCCATGTTTCATGGTTCCAAGCTCTGCAGAGACAAACACAATCAGGAAAACGCTTTATATTTGAAACCAATATAAAATGTAGCTCTGCAAGGAGAAAGGTTAAATTTGAGATGTAATGTTGATACGATGCACTGCACGTTCTCTCTTCACATGCTTCAAAACGGATACTGGCGGACTATCGTGAGGTTGGCATGTCGGTAACATCTTAGGGTCCCGGTGAGCAACGTAGCCTCAGGGCTCTGACACGTATCACATGTGTAATGATCATCACCTCGCTCTGAACAGTATTGACACCTTCCAGCACCATATCTTATTCTCACAAACTCCTATTGTTGTGACGGATGCATGAAAGGTGAGCTCGGTTCGGTCAGGTTAGGCGACTGAAAGCTTCCACAGAAGAGGAGCTTGATGACTGAAGGCTCGGCTCCCATCCTACTTTTTAACTCTAGGAACAACAAATAACCCAGCGTTTATGGTATTATAAGCTCCTTAAGATGAGACGACCAGCTAGAACCTTGTAGGTGAGGAACCTTACAAACAATGTTGTGTTTACAGCTTGTATTAACAAATACTGGTGTTTGCGTTTAGTTAATTATGAGAATGTTCTTTCTCAGATTGTAAAAGCCTATAAGGACTTTAATTTGCAGCACTTTCACAACATGTCTGGAAGCTATTGGCTGATCCACCATGTGTTATTAACATTAACCCCCCCTCAGCTTTTGTGTTGTGTTGAACAATGAGGTGAAAAGAGACGGGACACATTGTGTTACATCACCTTTTTACTGTTGGTACTTATCCAGTTTAAATAAAATAACTTCGACATTTTCATGACTTCATGTATTAAGGAGTTCCCAAAAATTGAGATACTGAGCCCCAAAGAAACGGATGATCAACCGAGGACTTGGTATAAAGACACTACACAGTAGCCAATAGAAGACAAGCAAGTCACCACTGTGCTTTATACCTCAGTCAGCTGGACTTGGAAAAAGTTTGAAATACATAAGATAGGATTAATAATGAATAGGTTAATCCTGTTTTTGTTTTTAATTATTGATTCATTATTTATGGCTGGGCCTTTGAATAATTAGGGAATTGATTGGAAAAGAGTTTGATCTAATTAAAAGATTTATCACAGCGTAACTTTGAGGTTTTTTTTTGCAGCTGTAAAGAAAACGTGTGAGCAGTATTGGGCACAAGTGTGAAGTCAGCAAAAGCTAAATGTCTTCATACATAAAACATACAAACATCCCAACACCCTGTGTGTGTGTGTGTGTGTGTGTGTGTGTGTGTGTGATTGTGTGTGGAATGTTTTTTGTTCCTGATCCCTGTGCAAGAAATGAAACATTTTAAACAGAAGAATGTATGCACATAATCATTATATTCTATAGATAAGTTATTAAAAAATAAGTCATTTTCTCTCACACGGTCATACATACATACGTCAAATCTTTTTACAAGCTCATGAGTTACATTTTGTGGAAAACTAGTATCATGTAAAGAAATGCATCATTGTGTGATAATCATTTTTTCCCCAAGATGTTACGGTGGTAAAGTGGCCTCATGGTGCACTCACAACTAAAGGGCTTTAGTCTTGTCTTAGGGTGCCAGAGGTCATTGATGAGCTGGAAGAGGGTTGTTTCACATCCTGTAGCTTTGAGTTGGGTAGAACGCGATCACAGGCCGGCGCCCTTTAAGGGGCTGCGTCCTATGAGAGATGCCCGTCAGAGGTTGAACCTGCATGAAGGAGGATTCATTCGAGAGCCACTGGGGGAGGGGGGGGGTCTTCTCCCGAACACCTTGTGCATTCTGGAGCGTTTTAACATCTTTTGCTCCCCAAAACGTTCCTTCCGAAGAGGTAATACGCATTCAAATAGTGTAAACCGTCAGATCTGACACGTATCTATGGAAACGAATTTGAGACCTGTGTGTGTCATACGAGAGGATATCGTGGATTCAAGGATTTTTGAAGCTGTGAAAGCTTGTGTGTATTTCTGAATGGGACCTTAGCAACAGAATGGCGCATTTCCTACCACCTCTTCTATTGTTAGTGTTTTGTTTGTGGGTGAAAGGTTTGTTAAGGATGAATTCATAGCTATAATTGGACAGTAATTATGAAGATCATTTAACGATATAGCAGTGACAACAGTGTTATATAATATATTCCATTCTTTCTATTTACGATTCACAATAATCCATTTATTCATCACGGCAGTGGATTCTTTCATATTAGATATCAGTAAAAAAAAAAATGTTCTGATCGTAGATGTTTTTTTTGTTGTTGCATACAACATAGTAAAAACCTTCTCAGTGGTCTCTAAAAAACATTTAATAAGGCCCATGAATTGAGGTCAGAGAGGCTTTTCGTTCATTCTCCATAGAGCTGTGATTCAGATTTTGGTGAAGACACTTGTTTTGAGCGGAATCTTGGTTCGGGCTAAAACTGCCCAGTGCAGTACGTGAAGGCAAAGTCATTACTAAGCTCTGTTGTATGTGTTGTGTATCATTCATTGTTCCATCTTCCAGAGATCCTCCTTCACCAATTAGACAATGTATCTAGTGAAACCAGGGCATTTCATAGGTGAAACCCAAAGTGTAGCTGAAATGTTATTTATCATTGAAAAAGAGAAAGGGTGTACCTGCCCATGGTCATTCCAAGCAGAAGGTTTGTATGGAAGCGGTGAAATATGTTTACCAGGATCGGCGTATCAAAATAAGGTCCAGTGATCCAGAATGGGACCCCTTTCATCCCAAAGGGACAGTTTGGCGTGTTCTGGCTCCACGTACACATGAACGTTGGCCACGCCTGTGTATTCTGTAGCTGTCTGTTAGTGTGTGTTTGTGTGTTCCCTGACTACACTTCATCCTCCACACCTTCCTGGTCTACCCAGCTGCCTTCCAGCTGTTCATCACTCCTCAGCGTCCTGCCCTGGTTTCTCATCCTCTCTTCGCCAGATAGTTGTAAAACTCTCAGTGGCAAACAGCTCCTTCGAGGAATATTTGCAAATACAATATGCTCAAAAGAACTAAAGGGACCACTTTGAAAACACATCAAATCTCAATGTGAAAAAAAATGTTTTGGATGTCTATACCGATATTGACAGTTTAATGTCTTAGGAACAAAAAGATGCTACATTTTTGGATAGAAATAAAAGTTCCAGCCTACAGAGGGCTTCATTTTACAGACAGAAATCCTGGAAAGCAATGTGGAAGGCTGGACTATTTTGCCAAAATTGCCGTTCTATCGGGTTTAGGTCAGGCGATCGTGAGGGCCATGCAATGATGTTAATTCCTTCATCGTTCATTTATTTTTAACTTTTATTTTTATGTTGTCTTATCTGTCTTGTTGTCCATTGTCTGACGTCATGCACCAACCACCAAGTCGAATTCCTTGTGTGTGTAACATATTTGGGTAATAAATGTTCCTGATTCCTGATGAGGGCATAGTCGTGCATCAGGAGGAACCCAGGACCGACTGCACCAGCGAAGGGTCTGACGATGGGTTCAATGATTTCCTCCCGATGCCTAATGGCAGTCAGTCTGCGGTTCGCCTGCAGAGGTCTGTGCGTCCCTCCTCGGATACGCCTCCCCAGACCACCACCCACCAGTCCCCCAAAAACAAACGCTTACTCCCCGCACTTTCTGGTCCGTGTCCGCCACCACACCCCATGACATAGGGGTCCTGTAACTGGTTGTCCAATGACCCAAATCCAACACACCAGGTTCCAGGGATCTTTGGCTTTTATTACAATCTTTCCAGAAACCGCAGGCAGAGTTAAACATGGTCGGGATCAGAAAGCTGAGTCAGGCGGGGTCGGTAACAGGAGATCAGTCCGGTGGAGAGGGCTGGAGAGTCTGGCGTGGAAAAACCTCAGAACAATCAATGTGTGTCTGGGGGGCCGGAGTCTATAGAGAGCGTTGATTAATGATCAGATGTAGGAGGGTGTACAGGTGAAGTAGAGTGAGGAGGGTGTGAAGCTGAACTGTGACAGGTCACTTTGTTAATGAGCCTCATTGGCCGTAGATAACAGTTTCTTCCAAAGATTGCTGACTAGCCTGCTGTGTAATTAAGTAATCCAGATTATCCAATATTTCCAGTTAATGGTCGATATACCCACATAACTGAAACGAAGCGAGGTGAGCGCTCTGCATCATGTTCAGGACGCGGGCAAGGACAAAAATAATGTTATAATATAATTCTTTAGCAAATAGCTCTGACATGTGTTAACTAGTTACAGAAGCAGTGTCTAGGATTAGGTATAATAAATTTGGCATTTTGTTTTACATATTATTTTACCGTGAATGAACCAGATAAGTAAATTGAGTCCCTTGCAACCATTTGTCCGTTGCAATGACAACCTGTCCAATAAGGCAGCAGCATGAAGCAAGTCCTTGTACATTGCTGTACATCTGGGTCCTGAGTCAAAAGGAGGTCTTTGAGACTCTGTTTAAGCTGATGCACGCGGGCTGTGTGATTGTCTACTGATAAAGGGGGCACATGGAAATTCCACTTTGATAGGTGTTCCACACGTTAATGTGGCGGTCTGGCATGTCTACAAACCCCCAACGCTGGAGAAGAATTCCTGGATTCCTGGAATGAATTAATACTAATTAAAACAACCTGTTTGGAGGTTTTGTAGTTTGGTGACATCATCAGATCAAGCAGGAGTCTCCCTTTCATGGACCCCACCCCACCACAACCCCCCAACACGCCGAAGAACTCAATCCTACAAAATGTAGTCGGGACAAAAACCAAATGGGTTCATTTCATATATGAAGACCACGTCCTGGCAAGAATTGGGAAAAAAGCTGTTTGCGCAAATCATTTTGAAACTGACTGTTTTCTCATCCTGGGCCAATATAACGGTGGACTTGCACAAACACTGTTGGGTTGGAGGAGGCTTAAAGAGACCGGCGCTAAAACGGAACGTTTCAAACAAGAAGTGAATACAGGTATAGTCACACAGACAATACGAGACAAATTAAATGCTTTTTTAACATCAACGCATTGAACATGTTAAGGTGGAAACCCAAAATACAAGTATGGGTCTTAAAATGAGCATGATAAGTCTCCTTTAATGAACATAGTTCATATTAGGTCAATATATTAGTGAACTCAACATTAACACATAGTATGTTTAAATAAACTACAACACCAGAGTACATCTAGTATTAAGGTGAACTTATTTTTAATATAAGAAGAAAAGAAAAAAAACAGAGGCTTTCCCTGCCGGACCCTCTGCTCTGAGATCACCTGTCTGAGGGCTCTTTGTCTGGTTTCAGTTTCATCATCGCAGTCCTTTTTCCATCGCCGCATGAGCCAAAGTTGTGTAATGCTCTGGTGTTACAGATGCACGTACACCTGCAATCTTCTCCCTGGATTAATCTCCAGCTCTGTCCATGAATGTGCGCCTGACAACACTACGGTGGGCGCCGCCAAATCAGTCACTGATTCGTCTCTATGAACTTTGTCAACCTTTGGCAATGCTGAGTACATGTAAAGCTCCTGGCCTACCCTCGAGCCCAGTAGTGTATAACGCTTATAACTCTAAATCCGTCTCCTGGTATCTCTCCCCTTCCACCCTAACATATTGAAACATGATGCGCACTCTTTGTTACAGTGACGGTGCGATGAGGCAGAGCAGGCCCAGTCTTAAAGGGTTGCTGTATTTCTGTAGTTAAGAGCCTGGGTCCATCTGTGAGTGTCTCTTCTCTCAACTCACTAGTAGAAAGGTTCAAGCACAAACAGCTTTTCCCTTGCAGAATCTCTTTCACATGTACTTTTAGGTCAACATGTTCCATGTCTGTCTCTGTGGTGGTTGGTCATGTATCTAGATCAGCAGGGCAGTTCCTTGCTTACTACTGTAGATTAGTCCATCACAACAAAGGGGCTCCAGTAGCTGAATGGTGGCAGATGGTTCACTGTGGCAGGACCGTCAGGATGTTGGTGATGGTCCATTTCTGATCAGTACAGTCCTGAATGACCAGTCGAAAACTGAACTCAGACTGTCCGGTCTCGATCAGCTCCAGACAACATAGAGACTCCATGTTCTGGATGGAGCCACCCTAAAAGGAAAGAGACAGAGAGAGTAGGTGGGTGAGATTCACAGAAGAATAATGGATAAGATAGATTTGTTCCCTCAGATCCGTTACCTGTTGATATATCAAACACATATAGAAGCACGTTATGTCGGTTTTCAACAACAAACAAAACGTAGCCCCCGGATCCTGGACTGATGGAGGAGAGCACATGCGCAGGGAAGCTTACCTTCTCAGTCTCTCGCTGACTACTCAGAAGTTTCCAATAGTCACCTAGACAAGGTAACTTGTTTTTCTATAGGAATAAAGAGTGTTTGCAAACCAAATGGTTTTGAAAGGTGAACTTGAATTCATTGTCGAATTTTGCTCATAACAATAAGACTACAAGGTTTAACACTTACTAGTATATACTGTACAGTACCAATCAAACATTTTGCCACACTTTCTCGTTTAAATAAATGAGAAAATGTGTCCAAACCTTTGACTGTATATATGTATACAGCAAGAATGTACCTCAAAGACCACCACTGTGGGCATGTGGTACACACAAGTTCCACAAAAAATTCAAAATTCAAAAATATATTTTATTTGCAATTCAACACGGAACCTTTTGCAACACTGCACACAGCTGCCAGCATCTCTCTCTGGCCTTGACAGGAGTCTGACATGAAGTCACAATACACATCGCTTTCCAGAAGAGATTGCTTGATGGTCGACTCAATCATCGGGATGTACGCAGTATGAAACCCCCACAGGTGGGACCTTTGTGGGTATAAATAGAAGCCAACAGAGCAGAGAGAGGCATTCTTTCAGAAACACGTATCAGAAATTGTGAAACGGATGTAATTTAGGCCTTCTTTTTCGTCTCCAATATATTTTTCCTTATTATATATATATATATATATATATAACTATATATGCTCAGTTCGGATTTTAAGGGTAAAATGCAACTTTTAGATAATCAATGTACTGATTGATTTTACAACGCGAACAAAAGATTATTTCAATCAGTATGCAAGAAGTACTGGTCCTGTGTGTTGTGTCGGATCCATATATTTATGTACTTCACACAATAGCAATATATCAAACTCAGACTGGATCATCAGAAAAGATGCCGTGTCTCTAAAATATTGAAAAAATGATATTTGTTATACATTTGTATTTCTTTTGCATATTCGTCATCTACGATACCGTTTGTGATGTGGGTGTTATTGGTGTACGATGCATGCATGAAGGTGATTAATCACTTTAAGATAGATATCGGCATACAAACTATTAGTATCACCATCAAAGCGTGGGGCTGCAATACCAAAAGCCTCATCCACTTTGACTCAAAGACCAGAAATAAAAAAACGTAATCACATTTAGATGGTGCAAATCTGTAGTGTATCGTCTCAGCTATGTAGACAGCAGTCAAAGAGGTTTTACCAAAAGAATCGAAGTTAATCAAGCTGCACAGGCACCATCTGCACCTACCTGTAAGAAGCTACGCTCAGGACGGCTATGCATTCATAGAAAAATGTCCTTCAATCAGACCACCTTAGCAAACAATAATGCCCAGCTCGGCCTTATGGTAGGAGGGCATAGATACTTGGAAGACCCTCCCCCTCTCTACTAGGGGTCTGTCTCCTATTTGCTGTCTTATTTGTCTTTCATGCCGTTGCTCACTGCTAAATTCAGAGTACAACCGAGGACAGACTTAGGAAAAGTGGGGCTAATCTGCCACAGCTCTGTCACTTCTACCCGGTCATTGCCACCTCTCACTCCACCCAATCAGTTCATTCTGTGCACCTGCTGGTCACATCCACCTTCAGCCGAATCACGCTCACCTGTCTACCCTTCTCACTCCCTTCGTTATTTCAACCCCAGTCACTCACTCGCTCGCTCGCTCGCTTCTAGATCGTCTCTGCACCTTCCAACACTTTCTTTTGGACTGATTTCCCGTTGCCGGCCCTGCCTGTCTTGGACTGCAGTGTTTCCCACACATAGACTAATTTGTGGCGGAATGTGCCACACATTCAACACCGGCCGCCACACGTTCCGTTTGGTGTATTTATTTAACAACAAGTCGGCTATAGTATAAGGTGTGAAATGTGTACTACAGCTATGGGAGTTGTGTATAGTTCTATCTAGTGATGTGTGTTTTAGTACGACGTTTGTATAGGCGTGAATCCGTTTTGTATTTACTCCAATAAAGTTCTGTGTTGCAAAGTCATTTGGGGTTTAGGTTGTCTGCGTCAAAGACCAAATAAGCGATCTTTGGCAGACAGCGTAAAATTGATCGTCGTGGGCTTTAAACTTCAGAAGGGTGTTCTGTAGATTTTGATATGGCTTTTTACATATAGAGTATATGTTGAAGGGTTTAGCACAATGGAGATTATCATATTATAAGATGCAAGCAGCGTTGGACGGGTCCTCGCTACTCGGACGGCTAGAAACGCAGCCAAGATCTCCTGCGGCCTCCAGACAAAGCGTCCAAGAGTCAGTCGTTGTTCACCATGAGGAGAGACACTAGGAATGCGGCTTTGCAAACATCTTAAGTATGACAACATTTGAGAGTGATCTGATAAATTAGCGAGGAGAATGGTATCTAGCAATAGTTCCATACGAATTCCAATTCACGCTGATAGTGCACATCCCCAAGGTGTCACTCGGTGATAACCAGGACAATCTGATGTACTATTCCAAAAATTAAAGCCTCTCAAAATACCATACATGAGCCAATTTCCTTCAAACTTTTTCACGAGACTACTTCTGGTCAATTTCAAATTAGATTTTGAAAGGAAACTAAATCAGTCACCACTCCGTCAAGCTCCTGAAGTTTGCGGATGACACCACCCTCATTGGACTGATCTCTGGTGGGGATGAGTCCGCCCATCTGGTGTCGTGGTGCAGTCAGAACAACCTGGAGCTCAACGCTCTAAAGACTGAAGATGGTTGTGGATTTCCGGCGGAACAGAGCCCCACCCTCCCCCATCACCCTGTGTGACTCCCCCGTCACTATTGTGGATTCCTTCCGTTTTCTGGGCTCCATCATCACCCAGGACCTCAAGTGGGAGCTGAACATCAGCTCCATCACCAAGAAGGCTCAGCAGAGGTTGTTCTTCCTGAGGCAGCTGAAGAAATTCAACCTGCCAAAGACGATGATGGTCCACTTCTACACGGCCATCGAGTCCAGTTAGCCATTATCTATGCTCATCACTTCAGTCTACATGTCAAACTCCAAATTCCACTCTAGAATGTGAATGGGCAGAGCACTGCCAGTAGATAATATTAAGACACACTTCAGTAGGCCCCTCCGGATCTCTCCCTGTGGCAGCAGACAGCGTTTCCTCATCATCATCATCATCATCCTGTGATGCAGGAAAAGATACTGTTTCTGAATACTTTTAACTACCATCTGAGGCAAGATCTGAGTATATATATATATACACACACACACTACCGTTCAAAAGTTTGGGGGTCACTTAGAAATGTCCTTATTTTTCAATGAAGATAACATTAAATGAATCAGAAATACACTCTATACATTGTTGATGTGGTAAATGATTATTCTAGGTGGAAACATCTGTTTTTTAATGAAATATCTACATCGGTGTATCGAGGCCCATTTCCAGCAACTATCACTCCAGTCTTCTAATGGTACATTGTGTTTGCTAATTGTCTACATTTCCACAGATTACCTCAACAAATGAACAGCTAGAATGCCAAAGGTCTGCAATGCTGTAATTGTTGCAAATGGAGCATTCTTTGACGAAAGAAAAGTTTGAAGAACAAAATTAATATTTCATATAAGAATCATTTCTAATCTTTTCAATGTCTTGACTATGTTTTCTATTCATTTTCTAACTCATTTGATAAATAAAAGTGTGAGTTTTTCAGAACTCAATGTTTCTTTGTTTTTTAATTTGTTTTTTAATTAGTATTTTAATGAGTGTTGGTGTAGGCTTCAGCGTCACATTTTAAACGACTTCGATAGGTATAAAATAAAAATGTGTCTGTAAGTGTTGCTCGTTTATTTTCTATTGTCGTGGTGACTCGTGCTATCGGGGCTCCATTGATGATGGCTTTTTATAATCGTCATGCACGCGCTTAACTCAAGGTGAACATACTCAGAGTTGATTTAACTAACGCAGATCAGCTGTTCTGGAACTGGATACTCAGAGTTTCCCATCTCAGAGTAAGTCAACTCGGAGTTCAGGGATAGACTCCGAGTTTGTTGAACCTCCTTTTTGGAATACCCCCCAGGTCCATTTCAGATTAGATTTAAAAGGAAACAACAGTTAGACAATTTCACTTCAGACGTATAGTACACATCCCCAATGCGTCACTGAGAGATAACCAGGACATTCTGATGTACCATTTTATAAATAAAGCTTCTCGAAATGCCACCTTCGTTTTTTACTGGATACTAGGAAATTTGACTTCCTGTTACCGATACATGGCGCTATGGATAGAGATACAACGGTTTAGTCGTTCTGGTGAAGGATCAACTTTGGCAATGCACCCTCTCGCCACCAATTATCGGATTCTTATAATATTCACAGTGAAGCATTATTAAAGGTCTCAACAATTTTGAGAGAGATCAGATTAACCTTTAAGGAGCATAACCTGTGAGGATCAGGGTGTAAAATAAAAAAACATTCAACTTCCTGTTTCCCCCAGGTGGCGCTATGACTAAGGTTAAAAATGATCATATGGATGTCTACAGGGTGAGAAGTTCATGCTTTATGAGAAAGAAGAAGTATTGTCGAGTTAAAACAACTTCAATTTTCATGGCGAATGGTGTTTTTTTGAAAATGCTCCGTACACACATAGTGGAATTTCTTCTGGCAAAATGCTATTTTTTCACACTGCAAGAATTTGAAAAGAATCAGGTTTAATCCCTGGGAGGAGTTTGGTCTTTTACACATCTAAAAAAAATCAGAGAAATGGGCTAAAAATGCAGATTTTCAACGATTACCTGCAACGCCCCTATTCTTCAAATATTATGAAAAAATGAGGGTGGGTTCAATGTTTACATACAG